AAAGAATATGCAGAAGATCTGTTAGTTTTTTGTGAGTGGTGGTTCTCTCTCTCTCCCCCCCCACTCCACCCCCCATCCCTTTTTTTTTTTTTTTTTTTTTGAAAAATGTTTTTTTAAGAGAGACCGGGGGGTGGGGGGGGGGGGGGGGGGGGGGGTGCACACCCCCTGCACCCTCCCCCTAGATCTGCCCCTGGGACTGTCTCACCTTTGAAGCCCCCTCACAATAGCATTATACTACATACCATCCTTGACATTTATTGCCACAATTGTTGAAGAACAGTGATTAAATGCCAATATATAACAAGTTTAAAGATTTGGCATTCAGTTAGTGGAGCACAGGTAAAAGATAGAGCAAGTCAAGCCAGTCTCTAGCTAGTTTTTTTGTTTCCTTTTTTTCTTGTCCTCACATTTTTCACCACCAATCCTCCAATCCTGACCACAACCTGAACTCCTTGAACATGTATCTTACAACAGGATCCTGTTCTTTGCACGGGAGAGAGGAGGGGTGAGAGTTATGGAACTTGGTAATGGCAATGGCCTATTCATCTAAGATTTCACTGTAGAAATGAATGAGAAGAGATTTCTTAAAAATTGTTTACATCGCGCACCCAGATCTCTTGTCGACAAAGTCAGTTTCCTTGACTATAGATCGGGGTACAAGCTCAGTGAAAATCACAATTTATCCTGTTTGATTTAGTAATGATTTAATTCAGTGAAACCTCTATTGAGCGGACACCTTTGGGACCTACCCAAGTGTCTGCTTAAGAGAGGGTGTCCGCTTAATAGAGATTTTAAAAATTGTGCAATGTTTGTTAACTATTAAAATTCAACGGTTACTCTGTACTGTGATAAAGTTCCATGTTGTTAAGGAAGCTGTCCTATACTTTTTGCAAGACTTAAAGGTGAACTTTGATAGCGGATGACAATCGTACAGCCAGATATTGGTCTAATTTACAGTTTTTTGACAGCTAAATGTATTGATTTATCTTTAATAATCAACCACAGTACGTATTTCAAGGACATAATCCAATACTACTATTGTCAATTCAGTCCAGTGTCTGCTTAATAGAGGTTTTTAACAAGAGAAATCACCCAAATACACCTTATTTTAGTGTCCACATCTGCTTAATAGAGGTGTCCGCTGAACAGGGGTTTGTTAAAAAGGAAATATAAGACATTAGGTTTGGAACCCGGCTTACTGTCTGCTTAAAAGAGGTTTCACTGTATTAAAAAACTAGAAGCTAGTCATTATTAGGGCTTAAAAAGGTGACGGGCCAACATACTTTAGGCTGATTCTGGATTCCATGTTGTTGATTCCGGATTCCATGTACTGAATTCTCAATGTCTTGTCAGTAGAACTTAGATTCTGGATTCCAATCATTAGCAGGATTGCTGATTTAGAATTACAAAGCCCAGGATTCTGGATTTCACAAACAAAAATTTCCGGGACTACAGTTTTGGATTACCTTACCTGGGGCATTTCAGATCATTATATGTTTCTGGGAAACTACCCACCTACCCCTCCCCTAAGCCAACATTTTGCCTCAAGTGAAAAATAAGGTTTAATGTTGGCTTAGGGGAGGGGTACATGGGCAGTTTCCCAGAGACGTATTAATGATCTGGCATTTCTTGTGATTCAAGAGAATCAAACTCTAAATGATTTGTCCTGCCACCAAATCACAACAAAGACATTTTTACTTAGTAAAAGCATCAATGGGTGATAAATTACCTGAGGACACTTCAAAAAGAAAGGAAAAGTAAAAGCGTTCCCTTCCTCACTGTCCATACTGCCATGCCACTACTGAAGCTATCTGTACTAGAGGAAACAGAGTTAGACCACATATCATTAAATGATTTGTGGTCTGCCACATGATGACTGGCTCTGTTATAAATGTTTTTTGCTGATTAAGTGTGAAAACAAAGTTACTGTAGAGGTCAACATTAATGGTATACGTATATACCTTTGCCTCTGGAGTCCAAAATTTAGCAAGGGCATCCCAGCTTAGATACTACGCAGTAAACAACTATTGTTATTTTTAAACATAATGTGACCTGAAAGTCACCAAAAATGTTCGACCAGCTTGTGCTGTTGGGGAAAAAGACTTCAAAGTTGATAGTCTGAGGAGTTCCTACTGCTGTATTCACATGTACTAGTATATTTAACAATTATGATACCTTCTACAGCATGTAGTCTACATGTAGGAAATGTATACATACATTGGAACCTCATTATAACAAAGGGCCAAGGGACTGACAAAATTAGTTCGCATATAACAAGGCTTCATTATATTGAGGGTCTTTTTATTGATACTTACTGGGGTAAAAAATAAAATTATTTTGTTAAACTGAGGACTTTGTTATATGGAGGCTTATTTATATATGTATGACAGTTCCACTGAAGGGTTGCTCCACTACAAAGGATGCAAGTTAGATTAAAATAATTGCTAGACACTGGAATGTCTCCTAGAAAGTTGCCATTTATTCTGGTCTTAATTGGTTGTTCATTATTAATTTATTTTATAATAATAACTATTCATATCTTGACATATTATTAGTCTAGGAAAATAAGATAGGTGTACAATAAACATGTAGATAAAAATGCCAAACTTCATTACACCCACAAATTATTGAGGTAATTGTTTATGTTCAACTCGTTCAAGCGCAATGTAAAACCTTGTCTTGTCTGTGATATCATGCCATCCTATTGGTCCACGCTCACAGTCAGCACAAGCTAGATATTTGATGGATTGTACAGTCATTGAAAAGCCGACATTTTCAAAAGCAAACATATCAGGGACAAGCCAGTGACTTTTCAGGGTTTCACCTTCTTGATTTTCTGTGGTAAAATCTTCCTTTTTCTGCATAAAAGGCAGGAAGAGCTGTTGATAATTAGACAGGAAAATGTATAAGAGAAAGCACATAACATAAAGTCTGTCTTTTTTGTCAGTTGTAAAGATGCATGAATATACTGTCAGAAATCAAGACATGAAGTTAAAAGTGGTTTTTTTGGATTTTAAGAAAATATGGAGTGAATGATAACCATATGACCATGTCGTGGAGTTATTCGCATTCATAATAAATGACATAATGAACTGATTGAGAGGTGAGGTGACATGCACAGCTTCTGATCCAATTTGTTCTGAGAAAGAAGGGAGTAACAAAGCTGAGAGGGTGTGAATCATTCAGAAAGTCAATATTTACCTACATGTACACCCAAGGGCATTGGATGACTGCCAGTTATATGCGAAATATCTGTTTTAGGAAGCAAATACTAAGACTATAAATTCTCTGAGCTTGAGAAAGGCTTTTTATATCCAGATGACTCTACCATTTTTTTTTTTTTTGAAGCTTTTATATTTACTTCCTTAAGATTTTCGAGAGTTGATTTTTATTTACATTTATTTTCACCTCCTATATTTGGCTCCTTTCTTCAGAAAGGGCCCCTTAAATTTTCGTTTTCGAAAATAGTTACAGATATAGAGGTCTCAGAAATTTCTCGTTTTCGTGAACCATTACATGAAAGTAACGTCTCAGATAAACAAGCTAATAGTACCACTTAATAAGAATATTCACTGTAGAGCTTTTACCACTCTAGACAACTATGCATGTCTATGAATCCTAAACATGAAAAGCCGTCATTTGGTGCCCTTGGCCCCACTAAGCATTGGGGCAGGAAAGGCCTTGTATATCCAATAAAGCTGCTGATCTACCCTCATTCGAACATTGGGGATACAAGTTTCATGGTGGCGAAACAAACAACGGAAGCGTTAACCTCACCTCCCTTTCTTCATATCTTGCAGTGCTTGGTCTCAGCACTTTTGATTGGCAAAACTTGCACACTATCCACCTGCTGTTTTTTCCATCTTCGATGAGATCATCCATCTGTGACTATTTAACGCACTCCTCAAGACGAATTTTCGAAGATGGGGTGGTGCAAATGAAGCGAAAATGCCCTTCTACTCCGTCAGAAGAAGAACATTTTCAAATACTCTTTCAAATATTAGTCAGGCGCAATAAGAACGCGTGCTACTGGGAACTAAACTGCACAGGATACCCACGCTTTTCACTCAAGCAAAAGCAGGAGCCTCTCCTGACAAAATAAACATAAAAAGAAAAAAAATCGCCTACCTCATGAAATGTTAGTGTTTTACCTCTCAACTGTCTTGCAGCCCTGGACATTCGCAATTTTTCCAGACAATTGAATGTTATTTTTGTTTTCCCTTTTTGTACTTTTTTTTTCAGTACTGCCTTTGGTACAATCGGCTCCTGGTGTCACCAAAGGTATCTACCTTTGGTGATATCAGGATATTTGGTGATATATCCTTTGGTTGACTGTGGGAAAATAGGGGACTGTGAACAGTCTACAGTCTGAAGTACTTTTGTCTACTACCTTTCAGAGGACCCGCTGCTCTAACCTGCGATTAGCCTTTTTTTGTCTTTTGTCTTTTGTTGTTTTTGTTATGTGAGGGTCGCAGATCGTCGCATTAGCGTTGCTTAGCATTACGTATTGTTATATTTTTAAACCAAATGCTGAGTCACTTGACAGTGACACAGAGTGCACTTTACATGAAAAACATGACCTCTTAGACAAGATAACCAATCAGAGACCATTTTCATTGCGAAATTTTATATTTACACAGTGTAATGACGTCATAAACTGAGAAGATAAATCTTCAAGAACACAACGAAGATTTTGTATCATGACCTCAGAGATGGCAGCCGCTGCAGTAGTTCAAGAATTTCCAGAATCCACGAACCAGAGGTAAATGAGTCAGTCCCTTTTTGCCCAAAGAAACTGATCCTTGAGCTAATATCTGTGTGTAAAATTTCTACTCACTCATCTATAGGTTAGTCTCTTCGTCGGAAATAGCAGTCGAAGATCAAACAAGATGTCGGTTCTACAGAACATGTTCTTGGCGACCAACGTCAGAAAGATTACTACAGGCTGCAGAGGCAAGAATTTTGCGATGTGAGTTTTGTAAAGCTGCTGATCTACCCTCATTCGAACATTGGGGATACAAGTTTCATGGTGGCGAAACAAACAACGGAAGCGTTAACCTCACCTCCCTTTCTTCATATCTTGCAGTGCTTGGTCTCAGCACTTTTGATTGACAAAACTTGCACACTATCCACCTGCTGTTTTTTCCATCTTCGATGAGATCATCCATCTGTGACTATTAAACGCACTCCTCAAGACGAATTTTCGAAGATGGGGTGGTGCAAATGAAGCGAAAATGCCCTTCTACTCCGTCAGACGAAGAACATTTTCAAATACTCTTTCAAATATTAGTCAGGCGAATACGAACGCGTGCTACTGGGAACTAAATTGCACAGGATACCCACGCTTTTCACTCAAGCAAAAGCAGGAGCCTCTCCTGACAAAATAAACATAAAAAGAAAAAAAATCGCTTACCTCATGAAATGTTATTGTTTTACCTCTTAACTGTCTTGCAGCCCTGGACATTCGCAATTTTTCCAGACAATTGAATGTTATTTTTGTTTTCCCTTTTTGTACTTTTTTTTTCAGTGCTGCCTTTGGTACAATCGGCTCCTGGTGTCACCAAAGGTATCTTTGGCGATATCAGGATATTTGGTGATATATCCTTTGGTATACTGTGGGAAAATAGGGGACTGTGAACAGTCTACAGTCTGAAGTACTTTTGTCTACTACCTTTCAGAGGACCGGCTGCTCTAACCTGTGATTAGCCGTTTTTTTGTCTTTTGTCTTTTTTTGTTTTTGTTATGTGAGGGTCGCAGATCGTCGCAGACTTGGCGTTGCTTAGCATTACGTATTGTTATATTTTTAAACCAAATGCTGAGTCACTTGACAGTGACACAGAGTGCACTTTACATGAAAAACATGACCACTTAGACAAGATAACCAATCAGAGACCATTTTCATTGCAAAATTTTATATTTACACAGTGTAATGACGTCATAAACTGAGAAGATAAATCTTCAAGAACACAACGAAGATTTTGTATCATGACCTCAGCGATGGCAGCCGCTGCAGTTGTTCAAGAATTTCCAGAATCCACGAACCAGAGGTAAATGAGTCAGTTCCTTTTTGCCCAAAGAAACTGATCCTTCAGCTAATATCTGTGTGTAAAATTTCTACTCACTCATCTCTAGGTTAGTCTCTTCGTCGGAGATAGCAGTCGAAGATCAAACAAGATGTCGGTTCTACAGAACATGTTCTTGGCGACCAACGTCAGAAAGATTACTACAGGCTGCAGAGGCAAGAATTTTGCGATGTGAGTTTTGTTATGATCTAAGATCTGTAACATCTCTTTGCTCTTCAGCTAAGATCGACGACTTAGAATTTCTTTTTCAAAGCGGGTTTGTGTCTGGTGATTGTGCCGGGCGGCTTTAAACATAATCGACGAAAATGAAAAATGATTGTAGCGAGAAGGAGCCGATATGTTGAGTATTACAGCGCAGCACCATATCTCAACAGAAATTACTCGGGAAAGGGCAAATTAAAATGGAGGGGGGATGCGGGGTTTGCAGGTGTACCGCTTCAGGGCCTTAGAATAGGAACATTTACGTATACAGTAGCACCGGAAAAATTGTAGGAAAATTCTGGACTGGTTTTATTCTGTAGTAGTGGTCAGGAACACGTAGCCCTTTACCAGACCATGTTCACTGGTGCATTTTTGCCACCCTTAGACTAGGCCCAGGTAGGGTACTCTGGATTTCAAGTGATGGGGATGATCAATGGATTTTTTTGAGTTTGAAATTTTCAATTTTGGGGTTTTCTTTGCGTAGCTTGAATTAAGTAGGGTATTCAAGACAATCTGATGATTCCTGATAGTTCCCGTGTATCCTGGCCACATATAGTTCCGCAACTAAAGTATTGCGACTGTTTCAATATTCAATGTATTACATTGTAATTTTTTTCTTAAAACCAGTCAATATGCAATCAGTCAAGTCAATAGTCTGCAAAGTGTCCTGGGATGCGAACCAATGTTTCAATTCTTTTTTTGTGTTTATCTCTTGGCTTTTACTATAGTCATCTTGGCATGGGATTTTTGGAGGTTAAATTTTGGTCAAGGAATTTTTGGGGGGGTTTGTTTGAAGCCCTAGGGATTTTTTTGAGTTTCGATTTTTGCCCCCATTCGATCATCCCTGTCATTGAAATCCAGAGTACCCCCCCTTCCCCCCCTGCCCCCCGGGAGACTAGGCACCAAAAATCCATACGCTATACCTAACTCTTGGTGGCAGGTGCAAAAAGGAGGGGAGGGGGGAGGGGAAGGAGAGAAAAACACAAAATGGAGCCTTCCATCTCCAATCCCCTCTCCTACCACACTGGTTGCCCTAAACCATGAACAACAAACTCCAAGTTCTTCATGCCATTGATCAATAATGATAAATTATACCTCAACTTTATTTCCACAGTTATCAAGACTCATTACGAAAGTAAATATGTGCCCTTGGAAGATAACCAAAAAATAAGGACTTTGAAAGTCAATCCCAATGCAACGAAAGTTCCACTAGTAATGATTCATGGCTTTGGAGCAGGTTTGGGTTTCTGGGCTATGAACGTTGATGCCCTCGCTAAAGAAAGGACTGTCTATGCCATTGACGTGCTGGGATTTGGCCGCAGCTCCCGCCCTCACTTTAGTTCAAAAGCAGAAGAGGCCGAAAGTCAATTTGTGGAGTCAATAGAACAATGGCGACATCAGGTCGGCTTGGAAAAGTTTGTACTTCTTGGACATAGTTTTGGTGGTTACCTTGCAAGTTCCTATGCTCTAAAACATCCGTCCCGAGTTCAACATCTAGTCCTGGTGGATGCTTGGGGTTTCCCTGAGAAACCCTCAGAACTTGAGTTTACCATACCTTGGTGGGTTAAAGCTTTGGCCACAGTATCAAGGTTCTTTAATCCATTTGCAGGAATCAGAGCTGCTGGTCCTTGGGGTATGTAATTTCAAGCAATTCCAAATAATTCTTGATTTTTGACTAATTTCTAACGTGGTTGTTTTTTTCTAGAATTTAAATCAAAACAATTTGGCAAACGTAAACCCTTGTTATTTTATCACCAGCATCAATAAATTATTGGGTGTTGAAGGAAGTTTTCCCAGAGCACTGCAGCTAAGACCCTGATACCCCTAGCCTTTACCAGACTATATTCAACTGGGATTGTGCCACCCTACCTATCCCAGACTGTAGACCTGAACCAGAAACCCTTTTTCAGACCAAATCTCACTGCAATCCCATTCCTGACCAAACTGCTTTAAAATTAATACCCTTCACAGCAACATAATGACAATCCCCTTTCTGAGGCTTTTAATAAAAAGCCAGCCACGTTGATTGTTTTAGCCAGATTTATTTTGAGGCTGCAGTTATAGAAATTGACGATTTTGGTTTCCAAAAAAAAAAAACTTGCTAGGCAGTCAGGATTGTACAGATGACAAAGTCACACAATAACATTATGTTGCCGTGACAATTGGCATCTTTTTGTGGCTATAATTAAATAGACAATAGTATTGTACATATACATGTAATTTATTGTTTTTTTATTATTTTATATATTCGGTAGGTCCATCACTGGTTCAGAGGTTTAGACCAGACCTTCAAAGAAAATACTCAAGACTTCTATCAGATGAATCAGATGACACAATCTTCAATTACATCTACCACTGCAATGCTCAAAAACCGAGGTATGTACTCTAATTTTGGCAGTTTGTAATAGTCTGCAGCGTGCAAAGAAAGTGCTGTCCAATAGCCCGGGGCTAGTGGATTTTGCTATTGGGCTAGTGAATTCTGTTTTTAACTTGCCCGATGGGCAAGTGAGGTTTTTTGAGGAATGTGAATAACAGAAGAACTGTGAAATCAATTCTGCTAGTCAAAAAGCTTTTGGGGCTAGATGAAATGACGTCTGGGCTAGTAAATGCAGCTTCAGCTTGCCTGAATGGAAAGCTGTAAAAATGATTTTCTTTGCAGCCTGAGTCTGTCAAGCAATAATGCGCAAGACAATGTTATTAAGAACTTTGTGACTCCAGCTGACTCCCTCACTTGCAAATGTGACCCCTCTAGCCACTTACTTGGAAGGAAAGGTGGATACTTTAAGACCCAAAGGGAATGCAAAGAATGTTCTGTCTCCATCTCTGGATGTTTTGTCATCACTTCCTCCAATTATCCATTAGGAAAGAAAATAATCATAAATTATTTTATTTTAATAACAGAATTTTGCTCTTTTTTGGTTAGTGGGGAGACGGCTTTCAAGAACATGAATGTTTCTTATGGCTGGGCCAAGTTTCCTATGATCGACAGAATTTCCGACGTGGACAAAAACATTCCAATAACTATGATCCATGGTAGTGAATCATGGATTAGCGTTGAGAGTAGTTATCAAACTAAGTATTTGAGAAAAGATAGTTTTGTGGACATCAGAATCATTGTAGATGCTGGACACCACGTTTATGCTGATCAGCCTGACAATTTTAACAAGCTTGTGGACAAAATTTGTCGAAAAGAGGATAGAAAGACAAATGCAGTTACACACTAAGTACATTAAAAGATGTGATATTTCAGGCTTTCTGCACTCTTTCTTTTCTGTTTACTATTATCTAAAAAAATACAGATGTTGCCATTAATTTCCAACAACTGCAATGACAACAATGAATTTAAAACAGAAAGACAAATTTGTATAGAAAATGTTAACTAAGTTAAACAATAAGAAATGAGGGAGGATGTACTAGGAGATAATAGATGCAGAAGTGTTAAGTTCAATTTCTGCCGCTTTTCCGAATCTAGTCCTTTGATCCTCCTCAAAAGAGCTATTTCAGGAGGATCAGTGTGGGCTAGATTTTGTGAACAGTTCTGGTAATCGAGCCTATTTTAGTGACAGATCCAAAATATATAAATTTTATTTTCTAAGACGAGAAGACTGACCAAAGTTCTCCTGACTTGAGGGCTTTGCAAGTATTTATAAATCTACGAAATTCTGCTACATCACACATATCGTATGACTTTTCCCTTAATTCCTTTGATGGTATCTTATTGGGTTCCGAGTGTTAGCAGTTTTTAGATTTTCACTTTTGTAAACAGTACGTTAAAGTGTTCTCTAAGAAAAGAAGACACAGCAAAAAGACTTGTCTGTTGTACATTATTATTTAAGATTATAGTTATAGGTGTTATGGAAGACTCATTTTACTGTAAAATATTTAAATAGCTAAATGAATGTAAATAAATAAGAGAAATAAATCCTAAACAGCCTTAGCCACGGCCTCACTGCAATGTATTTTTCTGTGTAGCCTGTTTCTGTGTTCATATAGGGGAAAGTGAAGAGAAATGGAGAATAAAGAGTAAAAATGTTGAAGAGAGGGGGATGGAGGGAGGAAGGAGAGAGGTTCTTTTGCCCTCTCTCCCTATACCCACCCCCTCACTACTTACTTCTCTTAGTGCTGCCCCCACTATCTGAATACACCTACCCCACCCCCCATCCCTTTACCCCCACCCACCCACACACACACACAGAAACAACAGCAAAAAGAACAACAAATAGACCAAACACCAACAAGTAAAGCGAGGCTTAATGTCCCGATATACAGTGGCCTATTTCTGACTACTGTGTTGCACGAAATTTTTGCGGTTTCTAATTTTTGTGATTTTTTTCCCGCAAATAAACATCACCGGAAACATTTTTCCCGCAAAAATTTACTCCAGAGTAAAATAATATATTCTCTAACTTAACTTTGCTACACAAAAATACAGTACTAACAAATCGTGTCTGTTCAATCTAAAACGGTATACAGTCAACTCTCTCTAAGACAGACACCTTTGGGACCGGCACTAAGTGTCCGCCTTTATAGAGAGATGTCCGTCTTATAAAGAGTCAAATAAAGGGAATAAGCAAAGGCAGGGACCAACTCTAGGTGTCCGTCTTATAGAGGTGTCCATTAAGAGAGAGTCGACTTTACAACGAAATACTGGTTTATTGTTTGAAAATATGTATTTCTATTGCACGTACTCAGACTGGCACGTACTCAAAAAAAAAACGAAAACATTACCATTACTGGGTACTGGGCACTTAATGAAAATCGAAAAATTGATTCCCAGCAAGAAAAACTAGTCGGTCCTAATCGCAAAAATTAGTTCCCGCAAAACACAAAAAAATCGCCCATCCGCAAAAATAAACTCCTTCAAAAATTTCTTGCCACACGGTAGTTTTGGCGGTACTGCGTGACAGAACTAGCGTGTGGTTGACCTTTAGCCCACTGTCTGGACTTTGCATCTCAACGAAAGCGTACAAACATGTGTACAAACAACAAACAGCTTGTACCGCGTTGGAACAGAGACCTTTTTAGATAAAGATGATCATGCTATTAGCTTCGAGAGCCGTTCGAGTGTTATCAGCGACTTATAATAAGGCACTTCAATTTCTTTGTCATGTCTCCCAAGTGGCTCGCACGTATTTGATGCGCGCTCGTATTAAGACCCTCGCAATGGCGACCGCAATCTGCAGGTGAGACATCTAGTATCTTTCAACTTCTTTAGCTGGGAAGCGGACTTTTTAAGAACTATTACTGCGTCTAATCCCGTTAAAATATAGGGAGTTCCACACGCCTGGAAGTTGTTTATATATGGAATGAAAACCCACCACCATTACAGTAGGTTGTTTACAGTATTGAAACCCACGTTGCGTGACGACTCTAAAACTCTAAAAAAAAAGGGAGGAAAAAAATCTGGAAGATCCGAGAAAGGATCATTTGGCATGACAACGTCACGTTCTTGAGCTTCTCGTGATGGGAAATCCTCATGAACTATGTATGAAACAGAAATGTATAAAATAGAAATTTAGGTTTGAAAAACATGCACTCCTTAATCGGGGCTCAAAACTGAAAAGAAAATTAGTATCGTGACAATGCCGGTAATAATTGAAATTATTAGTTTTTTTACAGCCGATTAGTATGAGAGGTAGCTACAAACCAGACAAAGAAGTCGCTCCTAGAAAAAATAATAATGATCGTTAAAAAAGGTCAAAGACTAAAGAGATAACAAAAATTGAAGTGATTTGTAATTTACGTTACTACTAGAAAATTTTGGCCAGCAGGCACAGATTCAGCTATTGAGAATATTTGCTCGATTTTTAGCATTTTTTCTAAGCCTTTCCCCACTTCCCCCAGAAAAAACAAAAAAAACAAACAAACACTTATGCATAGTTCAAGGTTCAATTTTACTTGTTACCATCACCCCCGGGCAACTCCGGGGACAAGTCTAGCCATTCGCGCCCGGGGGTTGGGAAGTGTTTGAAGTGGTCCTGTCGCGGGGGTAGGGGTGGGGCAAATAAATATCTTCTCTCTGGTTTTGCGAAGTACGTTTTATTTCTCGCGCGGTTTACACGGCTGTGGACCTCAAGACTACGTATTTTTAAGGGAAAACGCAAGAATTTGTCGGAGAATGGTTGGAGAGGAAGAACTTATCAAAATTAAAGTCTGTCCTAAAGGTATGTTTTGAAACGAATGTGCGTATGATGTGCACTCGAGTGGATTTTATTTTCTGGAAAGGAAGGACAGAGATATTTCTTCAGCTTAGCTTCAAATAATGATAAGTTTTTATACGAAAACAAATACAAGGCTTTTGATATATATGATAGAGAAACAGAGATTCGGTCCAGTGTTCTCGTGAAGTGTTCTATCAAGCAGGCGCATTGTAAAGAGTTATTTTTCTTCTTCGTTTTCGTTTTCAAATTTAATGTTCATGTTTTAACTACATTATGACATCCATTATCCTTCTCTCAATAAACTCAGGAAAACGTTAAAAATGAAAGTTGCGAAAATTCGTCGTTTTGCTCTTGTACGAATAAAAAAGCTGTAGCAGAAAACGTGTATGAGGTCAATCAGGAGCTCGGCCGGTGGGGAATTGTCTTTTTCTGTGTGCCCGGGAGTGGGGAATAGACCTCCAAGAAAGAAAAAAATTGCAATTCCCAGAGGGGCACGGTTTCAAGTGAAATTGAACCTAGACTTTCTAAAAGGATGAGAGGTCTACTTGTAGCAAGTCTAAATTGAACCATGCATTACTAGCGAAACTCAAAAATCCAAATTGTATTTGCTCAGAGTGTGGATTTTTTTTTCATTTATGATCCGTTTATGGATTATCCCCCTAGAAACGCTAAATCTGTCCATGGATCTAGAAATAAGGATTGCATTTCAAAACAACAGCGGCCAAAAAAGAATCGAAAGGAAAAACTGCTATTTCAGTCTATTCCCGGGGATTACCTTTTGCCAGCTTTTTGCACGAACGTGAGGCGGCGCGCGGAAATCGCGTGACGTAACAACAACAAGAAATTTGCATGTTGTTGTCCATGTAGTTCACACGCATGTAAACAAGCAACATGGCCGCTTGACACGAAGTTTAACTGAGAATATGCACGGAACGGAAAACCAAGGGTATGATGGTGATGGGGTGTTTTATTTTAGTTCTTAATAGGTTGAGACGATGATGTTTTTTGGGAGCTTTGTTCGAAACAACACTGAAAGTCATTCTCTTCTGTTCGTTTGTTCGTAGCTCTGCCGGTTCCGCTGGCGCCGAAGACGAAGGAGCGACTTGGTTTTCGGGTTGGTTTAGTTGGTGTCCAACTTCCGAAAGATTGTTGGAAATCGCAGAATCGCAGATTTTAGAGAGTAGGTTTAAATGTTTTTAAAGTAACATTCTTGCGACGAGCGCTCGATAGCTATTATGTAATTTTTTTTTGTTGTATCAGCCGGCGTCTCGGTGACATGCATGCAATCAACGATTTGGCGATAAGGTCTCCTATCTTATTCCACCTTAATGTTGCATTTTTTGTTTTTCAATCATCATTAAGTTTGTATCCTTTAAAAGATTATTCAGTTCACAAGATTCTGCTGAAAATTTGGGCAGTCTTAGTTTGCCGAAGTTATATTATTACCTTACTGTACTTACGTTTATGGATTCCTCGCCGACATTCAATATCATACCAACACCCAATTTGTATTTTTATATGTTGATCGTGATCTGATTCCTTAGTTAAAACACACTTAGCGTTATAAGTGCCTCCTTAGCTTACTAACGATCACACACTTTTCTAGAAAAAAATTAATAATATTAGCTTCAGATCTACAATAATAGATCGAGAGAGGCAGAACGCGCGCCGCGAGCTTGTGAAATACCGACCCTCGTTGTTTAAATAACTATAAATAAATTTAGGCGATAGAGAATGATCGAATTGTCTTGTTTCTGTTTTTGCTCACAGAGATCCGATCTTATTACGAAAGCGAATTTGTTCCTTTGAAAAATGATCAGAGAATATGGACATTAAAGTTCAACCCAACAGCTAATAAATCACCGCTTGTGTTGGTTCATGGATTTGGTGGGGGTGTCGGACTATGGGCAATGAATGTGGACACCTTAGCTGAGAAAAGGACTGTGTATGCATTTGACGTTTTGGGATTTGGCCGCAGTTCAAGGCCTGAGTTAAGCACCGACCCAGCTGAAGCTGAGGAACAATTTGTGGACTCTATTGAACAGTGGCGAGAAAAAATTGGG